TAAAAGTCATGTTTTATTTCTCCTTGTTCCTTTTACTTCTCTCTCATCTTCTTAGAAGCAGCAACAGAACAACGTCTCACTGTCAGAGATGGAGATGAAGTCACTTTGCCTTGTAACAGTGTGACTGAGGACCAGAACAACTGTGACTCTACTGAGTGGTTCTTCTATCATTCAACAATCACACCAGTAACTCTTGTTACAAACGGGCAGATTGAAAAAGTCAAAGCTGAATCAGACAGACTGAGTGTTTCACAGAACTGTTCTCTGGTTATGAAGAAGGTCACACGTGGAGATGTTGGTCGTTATGTCTGCAGACAGTTCAGACCAGGAGGACAATATGAAGATGCTCGGGTTCATTTGTCTGTTGTTTCCAGTGAGTATTTACATCATAATGTTTATAAACTGTCGTATCAGATTAATATGCTGAAACATTATAATAATAATGATTTTAGTATTTAAGTTCCTCTTCTTTCTCTCATAATGTCTCCGTCTCCACCAGTGACCGAAGAGACGAACAGAGACAAGGTGACGTTAAGATGCTCTGTGTGGACGAATGAACGATGTGAACACACAGTGAAGTGGATGAATGGTGGTCAAGATGTGGACAAAGACAAAGAAGTGAAGACATCACCGTCTCTCTGCTCCGCCTCTCTGTCCTTCATGACTTCTCACTTCTTTTACACATCAAGCTTCACTTCATTGACGTGTGAAGTGACCGATGGAGACAAAGTGATGCAGTTTTCTCCCTCAGGTGATAAAACAGGTGAGAATATTCTGAAGTCACTTCAATTCTGTTTTTAGTGAATTGTAAGTTTCATTTATTTAGTTGTGTTGTTTTCATTTGTTCAGGTGAAGACACAACAACAACAACAACCACTGAGGACACAAAAGCAGGAGACACAACGACAACTTCAGCAATCAGAGAAGCTTCAGCAGAACCACAAAGTAGAGACTCTACATGTTTGTGTCTTCATGTAGAATCTCTCTTCCTCTCAGTATTTTCATCCTCTCACATTTAATGATTTAATACATTTGTTTTCAGTGGTCTTTTTTTATTTAAATTCTTTGAGACAAAAAATACATTTTCTCTGTAGTTTAAGACTTGAATGTTCATAAATGTCTTTTTAGAGCTTTTCTGGTGAGTTTTACCAAATATTTAAGTTTTTTATGTAACTAAATATGAGTAAAGTAGATATTTAAGACTAAATGCACATAAATATGTGTGTGATTGTCGTTGCAGGCGGGTGGAGGCTCGTCTCTGTGTCCGTTGGATTAGCAGCACTCATAATAATACTTGTAGTCGTCAACATGTGGATTAGAATTAAAGGTGAAGAAGCTGAAGACATTTTGATGAGAGACGTCTTTTGCTGGTGAAACTAAAGCGACTCTTTCTTTTGTCTCCAGAGAGGAAAACACAGACGGAAGAAAACGCTGTGAGTCTTTAACAAGTTAACAATGAAACGCTTCATCACTTCATGACGTTCTTATCTGCAGTATTTCTTCACTCCAACACGAGTCGCTTTAGAGCTTCTAGCAGCTAACGGTGCTAACGGCCCACCAATGCTAGCAGAGCTAACACTTAGCGACTGAGCTCACAGTGTCCACATGAGGGGGAACCGCAGGGTGGATGCTACATGGAGGGTGGAGCACGTCAGAGAGGTGGGGGTGTAAAGTGTGGCTTTGATTGTGTTGTTTCTCACCAGAGCTGCCAACTTTTCAAAAAACCTTGGAGTGAGATTTTGTCGGGGGTGACCAAAATTTTGCCGCGCACGCAGCCACACACGTTGGTGGCTCAAATATCAGGAAATTGGAATTCATTTGGCGTAGTACCCATGTTGTACCCTGCATTCTGGTGGTTTGTGGGGCCCAAAGTCGTTGATAGGGGCGGCCTACTGGAGATGGACAACATTGGTTACATTCTGTGAAGCAAAGACATAGCTGATGGTCCACCCCCAGGACATTTTGGTTTAAGTAGATGTTATTTCATGCATTCTCGTGGATCTTTGGGTGGTATGCCTGAACATATTCTGATTTATGTTCATCTGCTCATGACTTGTTGGGCCTTCTAGACTTGAGCTGAACATTCAACCAGAAAACTATTGCTGTGCCTCAATGACTGTCTATGTACCACAATATAGCCTAATTAATAGACCTGTGTTTAAGATTAGACCAATTTAGGTTGATTGACATTTTGATTACAATGGTATTCAACTAATTCTTAACTGAAACCTAACCTATATTGTTGATAATTGTATTCTTAAGAGCACTTAATGATTTATGTTCAGCAAAAAATGACACAAGTTTAGTTAGGGAAAAATATTTTTCATTATCAAACAAAAAAGTGCAACAAATAAAGTGCTTAAAGTGCTTAAACAGTAGCCTTTCAAAGCAAAACAATGGATACACATAATATAAATACACATAAATAAAATAACAAAAAATGAGGTATTAAGAAGGAGATCAGAAGCTGGTTAGTAATTTGTGTTTTGAGCATGCAGTATACCAAGAGGTTAACAAGGTGCTCTCCTGCTGCTTGTTATGACAGCTGAGTTTACATTCACCACTCAAAATCACACGCACAAACACAACAAATAATTTCTTTCAAGATTTAAAGTTTAAGAGAGTGAGTACTTAATTGAACCACATGTCATTAACATACCTTAGTCTTTGCTCCTCCTGAGTTTCTCCCGCGGTTGTGTCTGTTTGAAAATCTTTCTTCTGTTGCTAACTTCGGGACTCTTTGGGAGAAATTGGTTGTGTGGCGTGAGTGCGTGTGAAAACATGCAAAAGCGTGTGTCACACGGCGAAACCGTGAGAGTTGGTAGGCCTGTTCTCACAGGTGCGTTATGATGCAGAAGATGACACAGTGAACTATGAAAACATGAGACCTGCTGCTGGAGTTTGAGCAACACGTCTGCAGATCAGATTCATTCAGCATTCACATGTTTGTTGGGATGTGTTTGTGTTTCAGTAACTTGTCTTTATAACATGTGATAACAATAAATAAAGACAGCGTCATGCTACACTGTGCTGTGTGATTCCTCCATGTAGTAAGAGCTTCATGGGGGTCATTGAACGTCCTCCCTCTTCTGGTCTGCAGCCTCCCTCCTCTGGTCCACTTGTGGTAGTGAACCTCTCCTCTGATTGGTTGAACAGCTCTGTTCTCACTGAGCACTCACATGTTCACAAAGTCACCTGATAACGCACAGAAATATCAACACACTTCTGCAAAGGCAACAACACCTAAATGTAAAAATACTCCACTACAAGTAAGTAAAAGTACTTGTTGATGCTGGTGGATCAACGCACCAGTAGAACCTGTATTGTTGGAGCCCAACAGAAGCTAATTTGCTGCAAACGTTTACATCTTCAGCAGCTCTTAACACGTTTAACGTGTTCGCCGAGGCCGTCGTCACAGTGTTGTTACATGAAAGGAATGTGTAGTTATTAGCAAGTGGAATAAATCATTATTCATTTAAATAAAAACAGGAATAGAGTTTTTGTTGATTAACTAGTAAAATGCACCGATACAGAAAACAGTTCTTTAAAACTACAGTTTTTTAAATCTTGATACTGATGAAAAATGTATAACGGTATAAATCAACAAACCATCTGTTGTATGTAATTACAATACTACATGTTTTCTCCACTGGGGGCCGATGCAGAGGGCACCGGGGCACTAGAGTCATCATCTCTAACCTGAAGGTCTTTATTTGATCTGTTTGTCAGAAGTGAAGTCATGTGACACCTGCTGGCGTGTTCCGCTCTGGAGGTGTTTCCAGTCTAAACGTTTAAGAAGTCATAAAAAGATGATGATGTCAGTTTCAGTGTCACAGCGCTTCCTCCCGGCCTGCTGGTTGGTGACATTTACTCCTGCAGACTAAACCGGCTCATCTAGAAGCTGCAGGTGTGCGTGTGCATGCGTACACGTATTTCTGCTGATGTTTATTTGATGTGCATTTCTTTACTTCCGTGTATTAATACATGCATGTGCAGGATCTTTAATACTGCACTTCCTCTCAGTGGAAGTTGGAGCGTCTCGCTGCTCAGGTGAGTCACCTGATGCTCAGAGGCCCAACCAGCGGTCAGTGCTAACGAGGGGGAGGAGCTCTGTGATCAAACACCTGTTGGCACTTTTCTCTTTGGTTTCCGTCCCGATGAACTCAAAGATTCACATTTAAAACAACCAGAAAATCAAGATGGACGTTGTGTTGATCTCACAATGTGTTGTTGTCTCTTTCTCCAACACACACACACACACACACACACACACTCACACACACACACACACACACTCTCGTAGTGAAAAGTCGACGTTTATCTGAGTGTCTGTTAAATGCATCTAAAACCATCTGGGCTCAGGCTGCGTTCGGGGGTCACATGACCTCTTCACAGCAGCCATGACTCCAGCTCGCATGCAAAGTGGTGACTTCACACTCACTATGAGACAGAAATAGGAACCGACCACAATCAGAGAGCACGAGATGCTTTGATGCAAACATTTACCTGAACTGAACACGCTCTACTTCCTCCATCCTGTTCTACTTCACTCTGACATACAATGCACATTATTACACATAAACTATAAACATTTTCACTCGCTAAAATCCACGAGTTGAAATAAGAAGTTAATATCACACATGATTGGAACAGTAAACGGAGGAGGGCTGAGGGCATCGCGAGGAAGTGACGACAGGAAGTAGATGCTGCGTCCATGTTGAAGGAGCAGCGGGCGCTTTGAGGGCTGAGAGCGAGACAGAGAAGCACGATGGCTGAACTCAGGTGGATTATGACGTCTTCGTTGGTGATGCTGCAGGTGTTGAGATGTACAGGTGAGTCTGCAGCTTCTGTTTAACGTCACCAGGAGTCTTCTGAAGCCTGTGAGACGCCATAAAGGAGACGCATTTACAAACACATCTGCAATTATTACAACACTTTGTAGGAACTTTACCGTCATGTTTACTGTATTTTTCTGTATTTTTCAACAGTAACATCTGTAAAAACTTCATCCGTCACTGTCAGAGATGAAGATGAAGTCACGTTTCCTTGTGAGAGTGTGATTCATGATCAGAAGAAGTGTAACAGTACTACGTGGCTCTTTAGTACTTCAGGAAGTACAGTAGCACTGTTTGAACTTGGGAAGTTTAAAGAAGGAGCCAACAACAGATCAGACAGACTGAATGTTACAGAGGAATGTTCTCTGGTTATAAAGAAGGTCAAAGGTCAGGATGCTGGTCGTTACATCTGCAGACAGTTTGAATCAGGAGAAGGATCACAAGTAGGGGACGTCGTTTATCAGCTATCTGTTGTTGACGGTAAGTATTCTTACTTTATTGTTGGAACAATGTGCTGAAAGTTTAAAATAACAAAAGAGGAGGAGGGTGATGAGGTGAAGTTGAAGTGCTCTGTGTGGACTGATGGACGGTGTGGACACACAGTGAAGTGGCTCAAAGAGGGAAGTCACACTGAAGTGATGACATCACACGTCTGTTCAGCCTCATTCAGCATTAAAAAAGATCATTATGAGTCACTGACATGTGAAGTGATTGATAGTCAAAGTGGAGAAAGTCATCAGTTCCCCTTCAGGCGTCTTCAGTCAGGTGAGAAGATGATGAGCTGCTTAAAGTCACATGTGGATGATCACTCAAAGGATTTGTTCATATTTCACCTCTTAAACCACATTGTTCTTTAATCATGACGTCAGATACTAATTCTTACTCTACAGTTTGTTGCATTTTGTTATTTATTCATTAAGGTGCTTTTGTAACAAAGACAACTTACAAACCTCCAGTGAATGAGACACCTGAGAAGAAGACGACCAAAAGTCCACCTGAAGACAAGAAACCAGTGACTGCAGGTAGAGACAGTCACAAACCTCTCAGAGGATCAGAGTGTTTTTTTCATATTTGATCATTTTAAATCACATCACTCTCTAATCATGATGTCAGATACTTGAGTTATTTTCTAACTGTAAAGTTTGATTCACTTTGCTATTTTATTCATTCAGCTGATGATGCAACAAAGACGACAACGAAGGCAAAAGGTGACGAAGAGAACAACATTCACTGTGTTCATTTATCAGAGATCATCTATTGATCATCTATCAGAGATCATCTATTGATCATCTATCAAAGATCATCTATTGATCATCTATCAAAGATCATCTATTTATCATCTATCAGAGATCATCTATTGATCATCACCCCTCTGACTGTGTTTCACTCTGTTTCAGCCTTGTTGAGGACCTTCGTTGTGTGTTTGGGTTCAGCAGCACTTTTAATAAGTGTTGTTACAGTCAACATCTGGACAAGAACTAAAGGTGACAACATTCACATATGAAGCCAAAAGGTTTTGATGAACCTCCATTTTACCCTCAAATCTAAACTGGAGTCTTTTCTTGTGTTTCAGGGAAAGAAACCCGGATGGAAGAAATCATGGTGAGTTTAATCAGAGAATCGTAGCGTCAGTAAAGTGTTTGTAACATCTGTTCTCCACTTCTCACTGAGGATCCCCACAAACCCCAGCGCTTCCTCTGGAGCTGCTCTTTGTTCCTACAAACCCATCTGCTCCGTGTCCTTCAGCATCTCAGCACAGTTGTGTTGTTGTTGTTGTTTACAGCAGCTGGATGAGGTGGTTGAAGAAGACGACTCGGTGAACTACGTAAACGTTGGAGAGCCTTCTGCCTCCGTCTCACTGGACTGATGGACGACGTGAAGCCACCACAGAGTCCCTGATGTCAGACGCCATGACGCCGTTGTCCACGGCAACAGACGCTTTAAGAGGCTTCAGTGCAGAAACGCTTGTGTTTCACTTTAAACGGGACAAAGATGCTTCAGTCTTTATACAGACTGAATGTTTCCTCCTGTGAAGCAGCAGCGCCTTCTGCAACTGCTGTTTATATGTTCACACGTTCATGTTCACCTGCTACGCTTTATTCTATTACACAATGTTATATGTGCTTTATTCTGTTACACAATGTTATATGTGCTTTATTATATTACACAATGTTATATGTGCTTTATTCTATTACACAATGTTATATGTGAATTATTCTATTACACAATGTTATATGTGCTTTATTATATTACACAATGTTGTATGTGCTTTATTCTATTACACAATGTTGTATGTGCTTTATTATATTACACAATGTTATATGTGCATTATTATATTACACAATGTTATATGTGCATTATTCTATTACACAATGTTATATGTACATTATTATATTACACAATGTTATATGTGCTTTATTATATTACACAATGTTATATGTGCATTATTATATTACACAATGTTATATGTGCATTATTATATTACACAATGTTATATGTACATTATTATATTACACAATGTTATATGTGCTTTATTATATTACACAATGTTATATGTGCTTTATTATATTACACAATGTTATATGTGCATTATTATATTACACAATGTTATATGTACATTATTATATTACACAATGTTATATGTGCATTATTATATTACACAATGTTATATGTGCTTTATTATATTACACAATGTTATATGTGCATTATTATATTACACAATGTTATATGTACATTATTATATTACACAATGTTATATGTGCATTATTATATTACACAATGTTATATGTGCTTTATTATATTACACAATGTTATATGTGCATTATTATATTACAAAATGTTATATGTACATTATTATATTACACAATGTTATATGTGCATTATTATATTACACAATGTTATATGTACATTATTATATTACACAATGTTATATGTACGTCACTCTGCTCTCCTGTTTAAACTGCACTTCATCATCTCAGTATTTGTACTTTGTGCAACAACAATAAAGTTGAGTAGAATCTTCAGTCTAAATTGTCGTCTTGTTGCAAAATGGAGCCGTGAGTTTGAGATTCATCTGAAGATCCAAGAGGTTTGCATCACTTTTGTCCCTCAGAGGACAGAGGAAGTGATTCTGATGCAGTTTGATTCCAACGTGTTGAAGCTTTAGTGTGCGTTCAGTCTGTGAGACGATGTCTCCATGATGCCTGTGGTTTATTTCTCATCACTCCTCTGAGACGTGCTGCCGCTGTTTGGTGCTGTTGATGATGGAATCAGCTGTTCTGGTCAGCTGGTGTCTCTTGTCCAATAGCAGAGACACAGTGTTGCGTCATCGGCGTCTCACTGCGTCTCTCTTTAGACCCTGAAGTGGTGACGTCACACTGCCTCTGATTAAAGATCCACTTCTTCAGGTTTACGGCTGAAGACGAACCGGTTCAGAACAAAAACCTGGTACCTGCCACAGTTTGAGGGTTTGACACCCTGAACGTGTTTCTCATGTAAGTTGATCTGAGTTGGAGGTTTAAACTTCTTACCCACATTCTCACCAAGACATTTCAGTTACATTACAGGTCATTTAGCTGACTTTCATCCAAAGGGACTTGCATTACATTTTTAACAAATGGATTTTTACATTTTTGCCCAGGGAGCAATTAGGGGTCAGGTGTCTTGCTCAGGGACACTTCAACATTGAGCAGCCGGGGCTCAAACCACCAACCTTGCAGTTCCCTGCACACCCTCTCTACCCCTGCGCCACGTCGACCAGTTCACAGAAAAACACACAAAGATGAAATGAGGAACCCACTGACTGAATGATTATAATGATACAGTTACTCTTCTTTCTCTTTTCGAACTGCTCGATTCCATTTTGTATTTCCTTCAGGCGATGAAAAGTGACGGGGGACGGGGACTTGTATAAAGAGTCTGCTAACGACTGTCCAACACGTCTGGAGAGGCCTCAGACGGACCACCAGCTACAAGCCAAAGCCCCCCACCCAACGAGCGACCTCCGCCCGGAGAAGTCCAGCTCAAAACCTCTATCGACCTCTTCTGGACCCCCTGCGGTTCAGTGACGCAGTCAACATGGCGTCCACTTCATCCTCCAGCATCTGGACTCCCCAGGAACCTACGCCAGGATCCTGTTTGTGGACTTTCAACACCATCGTCCCGTCTCTGCTGCAGGACAAAGTCCCCCAGCTGCACGTGCTCGACTCCACCTGCAAGTGGATCACTGACTTCCTGTCCGATAGGAAGCAGCAGGTGAAGCTGGGGAAACATGTCTCAGCCTCTCGGACCATCAGCACCGGTTCCCCCCAACGCTGCGTTCTGTCCCCTCTGCTCTTCTCCCTGTGCACCAACAGCTGCACCTCCAGCCACCAGTCCGTCAAGCTCCTCCACCCTCATTGGACTGATTTCTGGTGGGGACGAGTCCACCTACAGGTCTGGTGTCGTGGTGCAGCCAGAACAACCTGGAGCTCAACGCTGTGAAGACAGTGGAGATGGTTGTGGATCTCAGGAAGTCCCGCCCTCCCCCATCACCCCGTGTGACTCCCCCGTCACCACTGTGGATTCCTTCCGTCTCCTGGTCTCCTTCATCACCTCAAGTGGGAGCTGAACATCAGCTCCATCGTCCAAACAGGAGACAAAGAGTTTCCATGTCTTTAGAAAGCCTTTGACCTTTGACCTGTGTGTTCATGCTGTCAAACATCACCGTAAATCGGGTTTCTTTTCTGAGTAAAACCATCTTAAGAAAACAAGCTGCTGTGCAGCAAACATTTATGTTTAGCAGCAGTTTTCACACCTTTGACTTCCTCCGTCTTCTTCTTCTTTCACTCTGGGACTGAACACGATGGCCCTCATTGGTTCGCTTGTATGTCGCCGTCACAAATGCATCCAGGAAAATATCTCAAAGTGAGTTTTTATGCAGTTTGTTTGTTGCTGCATCAGATCATTGAATGCAGAAACGATTTACTAATACAATGTCGGCGTCACAAATGCATCATGGGAAATTACTGACTTAATTAAGCATTTAGTGACGTATGAGAGACGAGAGGGACGAGGAAGTGACTCTTTATCAACAAGAGGAAGTAGATTCATCCTTTGTCTTTAAGACGGAAGAAGCAGAGAGACGAGAGACGGAGAGGAACCATGGCTGAATTCAGAGGGATTCAAACCTCTTTGCTGCTGATTCTGATGCTTCACTTTACAGGTAAGAACACATAGAATGTGTGTATGACTACAGAAACACTAGAAAGATCATTTACTAATATATTCATGTTATTTATGAGCAAAGCTTCATTTAAAGACGACACACAAGTCGTCTGTTTGTTTCCATCCAGGTGAATCGTGAGTTTAATGAACTCTTAGAAACCAACAATGAGGCACATTTGTAAACTGTTGTTGTGTCTAAAATGATCTTCACACTGACACTAAAAGTCATGTTTTATTTCTCCTTGTTCCTTTTACTTCTCTCTCATCTTCTTAGAAGCAGCAACAGAACAACGTCTCACTGTCAGAGATGGAGATGAAGTCACTTTGCCTTGTAACAGTGTGACTGAGGACCAGAACAACTGTGACTCTACTATGTGGCTCTTCACTTATTTAAGAAGCACACAAGCAGTAGTTCTGGTTAGAAACGGGCAGATTGAAGAAGCCAAAGCTGAATCAGACAGACTGAGTGTTTCACAGAACTGTTCTCTGGTTATGAAGAAGGTCACACGTGAAGATGTTGGTCGTTATGACTGCAGACAGGTCAGATCAGGACGACGACATGAAGATGCTGAGGTTCATCTGTCTGTTGTTTCCAGTGAGTATTTACATCATAATGTTTATAAACATTTAGTTAATATGAAACATTATAATAATAATAATTTTAGTATTTAAGTTCCTCTTCTTTCTCTCATAATGTCTCCGTCTCCACCAGTGACTGAAGAGACGAACAGAGACGAGGTGACGTTAAGATGCTCTGTGTGGACGTATGAACGATGTAAACGCACAGTGAAGTGGATGAATGGTGGTCAAGATGTGGACAAAGACAACACAGAAGTGAAGACATCACAGTCTCTCTGCTCCGCCTCTCTGTCCTTCATGACTTCTCACTTCTTTTACACATCAAGCTTCACTTCATTGAAGTGTGAAGTGACTGATGGATACAAAGTGATGCAGTTTTCTCCCTCAAGTGATAAAACAGGTGAGAATATTCTATGAAGAACCGTTTATGACTTAATTACTGAGACACTCTCACACTCACACACTCTGTAAATCTATGCATGCTCATCTATAAAACACGATACATACTAGTTGAAACACTTACACATACAAATGAAAAGGTTGTATATTCAGAGAAAGTAGAGTTTCACCGCTGCAGACTGACGTCACTAACAAGCGTCTCCCGTCACGTCTTGATTACGTAGCTCAGTGACAGTGGAGACGGATTCACTAAACACTGAGGTTGTCCTTTCCTAACTCCTCATGAACCATCCTAACCATCTATCCTTGACCCTGTGACCTTTTCCACAGAGCTCAATGAATACTAGTTAGGAACAGTTGACGATCACTCAAAGGATTTGTTCATATTTCACCTCTTAAACCACATTGTTCTTTAATCATGACGTCAGATACTAATTCTTACTCTACAGTTTGTTGCATTTTGTTATTTATTCATTAAGGTGCTTTTGTAACAAAGACGACTTACAAACCTCCAGTGAATGAGACACCTGAGAAGAAGACGACCAAAAGTCCACCTGAAGACAAGAAACCAGTGACTGCAGGTAGAGACAGTCACAAACCTCTCAGAGGATCAGAGTGTTTGTTCATATTTGATCATTTTAAATCACATCACTCTTTAATCATGACGTCAGATACTTGAGTTATTTTCTAACTGTACAGTTTGATTCACTTTGCTATTTTATTCATTCAGGTGATTCATCTATCAGAGATCATCTATTGATCATCTATCAGAGATCATCTATTGATCATCTATCAGAGATCATCTATTGATCATCACCCCTCTGACTGTGTTTCACTCTGTTTCAGCCTTGTTGAGGACCTTCGTTGTGTGTTTGGGTTCAGCAGCACTTTTAATAAGTGTTGTTACAGTCAACATCTGGACAAGAACTAAAGGTGACAACATTCACATATGAAGCCAAAAGGTTTTGATGAACCTCCATTTTACCCTCAAAACTAAACTGGAGTCTTTTCTTGTGTTTCAGGGAAAGAAACCCGGATGGAAGAAATCATGGTGAGTTTAATCAGAGAATCGTAGCGTCAGAAAAGTGTTTGTAACATCAGTTCTCCACTTCTCACTGAGGATCCCCTACAAACCATCTGCTCCGTGTCCTTCAGCATCTCAGCACAGTTGTGTTGTTGTTGTTGTTTACAGCAGATGGATGAGGTGGTTGAAGGAGACGACTCGGTGAACTACGTAAACGTTGGAGAGCCTTCTGCCTCCGTCTCACTGGACTGATGGACGACGTGAAGCCACCACAGAGTCCCTGATGTCAGACGCCATGACGCCGTTGTCCACGGCAACAGACGCTTTAAGAGGCTTCAGTGCAGAAACGCTTGTGTTTCACTTTAAACGGGACAAAGATGCTTCAGTCTTTATACAGACTGAATGTTTCCTCCTGTGAAGCAGCAGCGCCTTCTGCAACTGCTGTTTATATGTTCACACGTTCATGTTCACCTGCTACGCTTTATTCTATTACACAATGTTATATGTGCTTTATTCTGTTACACAATGTTATATGTGCTTTATTCTATTACACAATGTTATATGTGAATTATTCTATTACACAATGTTATATGTACATTATTATATTACACAATGTTATATGTGCTTCACTCTGCTCTCCTGTTTAAACTGCACTTCATCATCTCAGTATTTGTACTTTGTGCAACAACAATAAAGTTGAGTAGAATCTTCAGTCTAAATTGTCGTCTTGTTTCAAAATGGAGCCGTGAGTTTGAGATTCATCTGAAGATCCAAGAGGTTTGCATCACTTTTGTCCCTCAGAGGACCGAGGAAGTGATTCTGATGCAGTTTGATTCCAACGTGTTGAAGCTTTAGTGTGCGTTCACTCTGTGAGACGATGTCTCCATGATGCCTGTGGTTTATTTCTCATCACTCCTCTGAGCTGCCGCTGTTTGGTGCTGTTGATGATGGAATCAGCTGTTCTGGTCAGCTGGTGTCTCTTGTCCAATCGCAGAGACACAGCGTTGCGTCATCGGCGTCTCACTGCGTCTCTCTTTAGACCCTGAAGTGGTGACGTCACACTGCCTCTGATTAAAGATCCACTTCTTCAGGTTTACGGCTGAAGACGAACCGGTTCAGAACAAAAACCTGGTACCTGCCACAGTTTGAGGGTCCGACACCCTGAACGTGTTTCTCATGTAAGTCGATGTTAGTTGGAGGTTTAAACTTCTTACCCACATTCTCACCAAGACACTTCTCAGGAAGAGGAAGAGACAGAAAGAGGAACCGACCACAATCAGAGAGCACAAGATGCTTTCCTGCAAACATTCACCTGAACTGAACACGCTCTACTTCCTCCATCCTGTTCTACTTCACTCTGACATACAATGCACATTATTACAAATATTAATATTTCAGTTTTTCACTCAGAGGAAATATTGAAAATGAGAATTTTATTTTTGAAACGTTGGCAGCTTGAGCTCAGTTTAATTTCTCTGAGTCAATTTCAAACCACTTTTAATTAGTGTTGCTGTGAACATATTGTTGTGATATTCATGTGTTTTAATTTGAATTTAAATATGAATGAATCTAATGAATAAAATGAGTTCTGTCGTCTCTGTCAGGGATGTGGGTGGAGGCAGGACTCAAATGCAGACTTCTCGGAAACAAAAGACTTTAAGAGTCAAAAGGTCAAAACACACAGGAACCAGGGGAAAAACAGCAGGCATGAAACTATGAACATCCACGACGACAGACAATGACGCACCAAGTGACACAAGAGACACACGACTTAAATACACAAGGGAGGTGCAGGTGATTGGACACAGGTGGAAACTATTAGACGATCACAGGGGATGACGGGACGAGGCAGGAAGTGAAGTTACCCGGGGACACGAGTGGCAGAAAACTACAAATTACAACAGGAAGTGAACTACACCGTGACAGTCTCTTCGTTCTCTTTTAACTAATGCACAGGTCGTCTTTAGCTGTAAAACCATATACCGTTTATACAATGTATTTCAATGTGGCCTGTTTGGTTAGCGTGATATATGTATATATATATGAAACAGGGAGCATCTGCCATGAGAACTGGGTCCCTCCTCCATGTTTGGGCCCTTTAAGGACTATAAAGTGAGGACTGTCGTCATGTGTCAATCAAACCTGCAGAACTCTACTGCTGTTAACCACATTCTCACCAAAACACTTCTCCTTCAGTTCTCAGAAAAAGCTGCAAAGATGAAATGAGGAACCCACTGACTTTAGAGGACGGACTTCCTGTGTGAAGGACACGGAGTCCACGCTCAGCGTCTCCACGGCGTCCATGTTGAAGGAGCAGCGGGCGCTTTGAGGGCTGAGAGCGAGAGAGAGAAGCACGATGGCTGAACTCAGGTGGATTATGACGTCTTCGTTGGTGATGCTGCAGGTGTTGAGCTGTACAGGTGAGTCTGTAGCTTCTGTTAAACGTCACCAGGAGTCTTCTGAAGCCTGTGAGACGCCATAAAGGAGACGCATTTACAAACACATCTGCAATTATTACAACACTTTGTAGGAACTTTACCGTCATGTTTACTGTATTTTTCTGTGTTTCTCAACAGTAACATCTGTAGAAACTTCATCCGTCACTGTCAGAGATGAAGATGAAGTCATGTTTCCTTGTGAGAGTGAGATTCATGATCAGAAGAAGTGTGACAGTACTGCGTGGCTCTTTAGTAGTTCAAACAGTACAGTAACACTGTTTGAATTTGGGAAGATTAAAGAAGGAGCCAACAACAGATTAGACAGACTGAATGTTACAGAGGAATGTTCTCTGGTTATAAAGAAGGTCAAAGGTCAGGATGCTGGTCAATACACCTGCAGACAGTTTATATCAGGAAAAGGATCACAAGTAGGGGACATCGTTTATCAGCTGTCTGTTGTTGACGGTAAGTATTCTTACTTTATTGTTGGAACAATGTGCTGAAAGTTTAAAATAACAAAAGAGGAGGAGGGTGATGAGGTGAAGTTGAAGTGCTCTGTGTGGACTGATGGACGGTGTGGACACACAGTGAAGTGGCTCAAAGAGGGAAGTCACACTGAAGTGATGACATCACACGTCTGTTCAGCCTCATTCAGCATTAAAAAAGATCATTATGAGTCACTGACATGTGAAGTGATTGATAGTCAAAGTGGAGAAAGTCATCAGTTCCCCTTCAGGCGTCTTCAGTCAGGTGAGAAGATGATGAGCTGCTTAAAGTCACATGTGGATGATCACTCAAAGGATTTGTTCATATTTCACCTCTTAAACCACATTGTTCTTTAATCATGACGTCAGATACTAATTCTTACTCTACAGTTTGTTGCATTTTGTCATTTATTCATTAAGGTGCTTTTGTAACAAAGACGACTTACAAACCTCCAGTGAATGAGACACCTGAGAAGAAGACGACCAAAAGTCCACCTGAAGACAAGAAACCAGTGACTGCAGGTAGAGACAGTCACAAACCTCTCAGAGGATCAGAGAGTGTTTGTTCATATTTGATCATTTTAAATCACATCTCTCTTTAATCGTGATGTCAGATACTTGAGTTCTGAGCAGAAAGGAACTAAATTCACTGCTAGTAAAGACGTGCAGGGAAACATGCTGTGTTCATCTATCAGAGATCATCTATTGATCATCTATCAGAGATCATTTATCGATCATCTATCAGAGATCATCTATTGATCATCTATCAGAGATCATCTATTGATCATCTATCAGAGATCATTTATCGATCATCTATCAGAGATCATCTATTGACCATCTATCAGAGATCATCTATTTATCATCTATCAGAGATCATCTATTGATCATCTATCAGAGATCATCTATTGATCATCACCCCTCTGACTGTGTTTCACTCTGTTTCAGCCTTGTTGAGGACCTTGGTTGTGTGTTTGGGTTCAGCAGCACTTTTAATAAGTGTTGTTACAGTCAACATCTGGACAAGAACTAAAGGTGACAACATTCACATATGAAGCCAAAAGGTTTTGATGAACCTCCATTTTACCCTCAAAACTAAACTGGAGTCTTTTCTTGTGTTTCAGGGAAAGAAACCCGGATGGAAGAAATCATGGTGAGTTTAATCAGAGAATCGTAGCGTCAGTAAAGTGTTTGTAACATCAGTTCTCCACTTCTCACTGAGGATCCCCACAAACCCCAGCGCTTCCTCTGGAGCTGCTCTTTGTTCCTACAAACCCATCTGCTCCGTGTCCTTCAGCATCTCAGCACAGTTGTGTTGTTGTTGTTGTTGTTTACAGCAGCTGGATGAGGTGGTTGAAGGAGACGACTCGGTGAACTACGTAAACGTTGGAGAGCCTTCTGCCTCCGTCTCACTGGACTGATGGACGACGTGAAGCCACCACAGAGTCCCTGATGTCAGACGCCATGACGCCGTTGTCCACGGCAACAGACGCTTTAAGAGGCTTCAGTGCAGAAACGCTTGTGTTTCACTTTAAACGGGACAAAGATGCTTCAGTCTTTATACAGACTGAATGTTTCCTCCTGCACTGTAAACCCAGATTTTGTTTCTAATTAAACTTACGAGTGATCATTACTTATTCTTTTATGTTTAGTAAAAACCTGCTATCATTACTAAACAACATTAGTTGTTTGTACTAATTAGCTGAAAAATTCATTGCACTAATCATTTTTAGCACAGATAATTCGGTATGTTTACTTTTGGAAGAAAGGGGAGGGGCTAATTCAAAAAGCTACCTGGTCACGTGACCAGACCAACGTCTAACGTGCGTCCAAGGGGCTCTTCACCTGGCGGGACGAGCACAGGCATCGGCAGCAGACGGAATCCAAGAAAGCAACCTTACCACCTCGAAGTGGAATGGTTAGTATGTCAAATAACTATTGTAGCCTAGTTATCTTTGTGGGAATGTTTAATACCCAAAAGCTTGCAGATAATTTGACGCAGATTTTATTTCCGTCTAATGTTGTTGTTTGAACCTGTGCATGGTGTTAATACATGCTTATTGCTAAGACTAGCTAGCTAGCTACTCAAAAAGTGTTAGCTGAACTTAAAGTTAACTTGTGTGTTAGTTAACTTAGTGTTAACAGTCTGAGGACGGCTCACATACCGTTAGTTTGTTCGACTGTATAATTTATTCAACCGCCATTTTACGCAATAGAAAAACGATTCAACCGCTGTCGGGGCAAATTACGTCCGCTGTGGAGGCGTTTAGCTACACCCGAGCTACTTGCAGCCATTGATTCACTGGCCGCTCTCTTTTCCCCCCTCACTCTCTACACACTGGCTGCGTGGCGTGTCTGTTTATAGTTAAACGGTTCGAGCTTACACACGCCTGCTAGAAACAGGACCGACTGCTATTTCACGCCACACGCAAGCATTGGAAGCGTTTCCAGGCAAAATTTTATATGAAAAGATATATTAGTATATTTCATTTTGACATGAATACAAATTAATAAATGGCATGTTGATGTTCGAAAGTCTCGAGTTTATGACATAAATGCAGATATACAAATGTAATAAAAAAAAAGATGATTGATTTTCAAATATTGCACCTGTACAGAATGCAATATACTGTAGTGTATTTACCGTCAATACTGCCGACGTCGTCTTTGCTGTAATCAAATCAGTATATATTTATGTGTAACATGAAGTATACTGGTTGAGTGCAGTAAATTAATGGGAAACATGCATGTGTCCAGACAAGGCTAGCAGCAGCAGCGCCGCGTCAGGCACGTTTCTGGTGTGAAAAGATAGAAAAATCCACGCAACTGACACGCAACAGAAATGCCACGCCGGCAGTGTGTAACCGGCCTCACACACGCTTGTTTTCATGCCGGTTTTCTCTGTAACACAGGTGTTGTTTCGGTTTTATTACCTTATTGTATTTAACAGTGACATTGTTGTGCTGAGTTGTTGACCTAAACAGTTTCTTGTTTTACAGATTCTTGTGGTGTGAGGATGCTGTGGAAGTGTAAGTACGGTGAGTTTATCTGTGAGAAAAGGGGTTACCTTTTAAAACATCGGTTAAAACACGGGAACTATGGTAGAACTGTCCCATTTCCCTGCTTACACCAACAATGTGTGTGCATTTGATCAGGCAGCCCTGGAGGGTGCCTGTAAAGACTTGGTTGATGAAATGCAGAAGAGAACACCAAACGGACCTCTTGTGAAACAGAAAATGGATCAGATGTTTGTTCTGAGAAGAAAAGAGGTAGTGGAGTCGGAACCTGCCATAAGCACGATGGTGAGATGCTGGCCTGCCCTTTTCACTCAAGATCAAGTATGTTTAAGAAAGAGAACATAACAAATAATTATCTTTCTATTATATAATGTGTCTAGATGTATATTTCTCTTGTCCTCTGTAAAGGAAACATTGGTATTTTTAATTTGGGGTATGATGTTTTTAATTTAAACATCAACATTTCAAATCGTATAAAAAGGACATTCATGGATGTTTTTCAGGACAGCACTACTTCGCAGATGGCTTAGCTGCCTTGTATAGTTCAGTTGATCTAAATTCAGATTTTTATTGTTCTCTGTATTTTTCAGGTCTTCATGGAGTGCAGCAGGATTGTGGGCAAGAACCTCAAGACGGAATTCTATGAGAGCATCGACCGGCACAGTCCTCGTCTCCTCGAGTTATTTGGATCCAAGAGAGGGAATGTTGGACAGACCAATGTAAGTCCATCCACATTATGTACTTGGCATTGTTGTTCTTAGGTTAGGTATAAACATCATATCACAATGCTACTCTATTAGTTGCATAATTCTATCCAAACATTGCTCGGCCTGTTTAAGATTTCTTAGAGATCATTATTTGTTTTTCATTTGAGCTATCTAACTTGTTGTACTGTGTTTAATTCCCAAAAGACTACAGAGCCAACTGAGTGTCAGAGGGCTTCCTATCATCCTTGGGGACAACCCCACAGACTTCTTCAAAGCAGGCTTTGTAAGTAAGCTCTTGCTTTCTTATCATTTTTAATAAAAGTTTTTTTTCAAATGAGAAATATAATGTAATGAATGGTTTTCTTTTCTGTTTTTCTTTATTTAGGAATCGATGATGATTCTTTTCGTGACCCAGACATTGGGATACTTCTTATTGAGCGTAAAGGTGCTGTGCTCACATCTTCCCAGCATCTCAGTCCAGCCTCGTTGAAAAGCATCATTGAGGGAGAAGTCGTGATGGACAGCATTCAAGATCTGCCAATAGCAATGTGCATTCTGTTTGGACTCATGTATGCACTCGATCCTTACTACCCCAAGACTATGAAGCTCACATTTCAGTTCATCCAACAGGTATTGCTCTTGTTAGTTCACACTGACCTAAAGCCAAAGCTACAGACTTTGAAAAATCAGCTCGCAATGTAAAGAGATGTCAAGTCTACTTTAAGAAACTGTTGACTATTTATTTTTTTTCTTACCTGTGGGGTAAACCTTATTTTCTGTAAAACAGGTGGACAAACAGACGCATAAAACGCAGACACACACCCCGACACATACAACACCCACACACAACACCCACAAACAACACTGACACACCTAAACACACTTATATTTTGTGGGAAGCGTGCTAAAGGATGTGACTTGTGTGACAATTTAAACTGAGCGAAGTTGTAGCGGAAAGACATAGGACATTGTATAGATACATACATACATATTTCAGTTCTTCATCAGTCTATGTAGATGGAATTATATATTGTTCTGATATGATAGTATGTTGGTTCATGCTCTGGCCTCCCTTCATTGAGGCAGATGAAACGGATCCTTTTTGTGATTAGCTGTGTTTGGCCATTTTTATTAAAAGTAAAATGCATTGGAGCATTTACAGGTGTGTCTGTTTTTTTTATCCAATTTAATTGAAACAATGTTTAATAACATATTAAAAAACAATCAAAAGCAAATTAAATTAGAGGAAAATACAATAATTGTGTTAAATGATGAGTAGTAATAACAAGTCATAATAGCTAGTTTTATCTAATGATTTTGAGTACACACTACTAATAAATATAAATACTAAAGTTAAGGTTCCACGTTAATACAACTCAACATTTCTAGTTTCAGCTTGTGTAAAAACGTAAGGTTCCACGTTAATACAACGCAACATTTCTAGTTTCAGCTTGTGTAAAAACTTTCGGTTCCACGTTAATACAACTCAACATTTCTAGTTTCAGCTTGTGTAAAAACGTAAGGTTCCACGTTAATACAACTCAACATTTCTAGTTTCAGCTTGTGTAAAAACGTAAGGTTCCACGTTAATACAACTCAACATTTCTAGTTTCAGCTTGTGTAAAAACGTAAGGTTCCACGTTAATACAACTCAACATTTCTAGTTTCAGCTTGTGTAAAAACGTAAGGTTCCACGTTAATACAACTCAACATTTCTAGTTTTAGCTTGTGTAAAAACTTACAGTTCCACGTTAATACAACGCAACAGTTCTAGTTTCAGCTTGTGTAAAAACTTACAGTTCCACGTTAATACAACGCAACAGTTCTAGTTTCAGCTTGCGTAAAAACTAAAGTGGGATAGGGCAACGGGTTTCCACGCGATTTGCGAGTAAAGTCAACTAATTCGGGTTTACAGTGTGTGAAGCAGCAGCGCCTTCTGCAACTGCTGTTTATATGTTCACACGTTCATGTTCACCTGCTACGCTTTATTATATTACACAATGTTATATGTGCTTTATTCTATTACACAATGTTATATGTGAATTATTCTATTACACAATGTTATATGTGCTTTATTCTATTACACAATGTTATATGTGCATTATTCTATTACACAATGTTATATGTGCTTTATTCTATTACACAATGTTATATGTGCATTATTCTATTACACAATGTTATATGTGCTTTATTCTATTACACAATGTTATATGTGCTTTATTCTATTACACAATGTTATATGTGCATTATTATATTACACAATGTTATATGTGCATTATTCTATTACACAATGTTATATGTGCATTATTATATTACACAATGTTATATGTGCTTTATTCTATTACACAATGTTATATGTACATTATTATATTACACAATGTTATATGTGCTTCACTCTGCTCTCCTGTTTAAACTGCCCTTCATCATCTCAGTATTTGTACTTTGTGCAACAACAATAAAGTTGAATAGAATCTTCAGTCTAAATTGTCGTCTTGTTGCAAAATGGAGCCGTGAGTTTGAGATTCATCTGAAGATCCAAGAGGTTTGCATCACTTTTGTCCCTCAGAGGACAGAGGAAGTGATTCTGATGCAGTTTGATTCAAACGTGTTGATTTAGTGTGCGTTCAGTCTGTGAGACGATGTCTCCATGATGCCTGTGGTTTATTTCTCATCACTCCTCTGAGACGTGCTGCCGCTGTTTGGTGCTGTTGATGATGGAATCAGCTGTTCTGGTCAGCTGGTGTCTCTTGTCCAATAGCAGAGCCACAGCGTTGTGTCATTGGCGTCTCACTGCGTCTCTCTTTAGACCCTGAAGTGGTGACGTCACACTGCCTCTGATTAAAGATCCACTTCTTCAGGTTTACGGCTGAAGACGAACCGGTTCAGGACAAAAACCTGGTACCTGCCACAGTTTGAGGGTTCGACACCCTGAACGTGTTTCTCATGTAAGTCGATGTTAGTTGGAGGTTTAAACTTCTTACCCACATTCTCACCAAGACACTTCTCAGGAAGAGGAAGAGACAGAAATAGAAACCGACCACAATCAGAGAGCACGAGATGCTTTGCTGCAAACATTCACCTGAACTGAACACGCTCTACTTCCTCCATCCTGTTCTACTTCACTCTGACATACAATGCACATTATTACAAATATTAATATTTCAGTTTTTCACTCAGAGGAAATATTGAAAATGAGAATTTTATTTTTGAAACGTTGGCAGCTTGAGCTCAGTTTAATTTCTCTGAGTCAATTTCAAACCACTTTTAATTAGTGTTGCTGTGAACATATTGTTGCGATATTCATGTGTTTTAATTTGAATTTAAATATGAATGAATCTAATGAATAAAATGAGTTCTGTCGTCTCTTCGTTCTCTTTTAACTAATGCACAGGTCGTCTTTAGCTGTAAAACCACATACCGTTCATACAATGTATTTCAATGTGGCCTGTTTGGTTAGCGTGATATATGTATATATATATGAAACAGGGAGCATCTGCCATGAGAACTGGGTCCCTCCTCCATGTTTGGGCCCTTTAAGGACTATAAAGTGAGGACTGTCCTCATGTGTCAATCAAAACTGCAGAGCTCTACAGCTGTTAACCACATTCTCACCAAAACACTTCTCCTTCAGTTCTCAGAAAAAGCTGCAAAGATGAAATGAGGAACCCACTGAGTTTAGAGGACGGACTTCCTGTGTGAAGGACATTGAGTCCACGCTCAGCGGCTCCACGGCGTCCATGTTGAAGGAGCAGCGGACGCTTTGAGGGCTGAGAGCGAGAGAGAGAAGCACGATGGCTGAACTCAGGTGGATTATGACGTCTTCGTTGGTGATGCTGCAGGTGTTGAGCTGTACAGGTGAGTCTGCAGCTTCTGTTTAACGTCACCAGGAGTCTTCTGAAGCCTGTGAGACGCCATAAAGGAGACGCATTTACAAACACATCTGCAATTATTACAACACTTTGTAGGAACTTTACCGTCATGTTTACTGTATTTTTCTGTATTTTTCAACAGTAACATCTGTAGAAACTTCATCCGTCACTGTCAGAGATGAAGATGAAGTCATGTTTCCTTGTGAGAGTGAGATTCATGATCAGAAGAAGTGTGACGGAACTACGTGGCTCTTTAGTGGTTTAGGAAAGGATGCAGCAGTAGCACTGTTTGAACATGGGAAGATTCACGAAGGAGCCAACAACAGATTAGACAGACTGAATGTTACAGAGGAATGTTCTCTGGTTATAAAGAAGGTCAAAGATCAGGATGCTGGTCTTTACACCTGCAGACAGTTTGAATCAGGAGAAGGACCACAAGTAGGGGACGTCGTTTATCAGCTATCTGTTGTTGACGGTAAGTATTCTTACTTTATTGTTGGAACAATGTGCTGAAAGTTTAAAATAACTAAAGAGGAGGAGGGTGATGAGGTGAAGTTGAAGTGCTCTGTGTGGACTGATGGACGGTGTGGACACACAGTGAAGTGGCTCAAAGAGGGAAGTCACACTGAAGTGATGACATCACACGTCTGTTCAGCCTCATTCAGCATTAAAAAAGATCATTATGAGTCACTGACATGTGAAGTGATTGATAGTCAAAGTGGAGAAAGTCATCAGTTCCCCTTCAGGCGTCTTCAGTCAGGTGAGAAGATGATGAGCTGCTTAAAGTCACATGTGGATGATCACTCAAAGGATTTGTTCATATTTCACCTCTTAAACCACATTGTTCTTTAATCATGACGTCAGATACTAATTCTTACTCTACAGTTTGTTGCATTTTGTTATTTATTCATTAAGGTGCTTTTGTAACAAAGACGACTAACAAACCTCCAGTGAATGAGACACCTGAGAAGACGACGACCAAAAGTCCACCTGAAGACAAGAAACCAGTGACTGCAGGTAGAGACAGTCACAAACCTCTCAGAGGATCAGAGTGTTTGTTCATATTTGATCATTTTAAATCACATCACTCTTTAATCATGATCTCAGATACTTGAGTTATTTTCTAACTGTAAAGTTTGATTCACTTTGCTATTTTATTCATTCAGGTGATGATGCAACAAAGACGACAACGAAGGCAAAAGGTGACGAAGAGAACAACATTCACTGTGTTCATCTATCAGAGATCATCTATTGATCATCTATCAGAGATCATCTATTGATCATCTGTCAGAGATCATCTATTGATCATCTATCAGAGATCATCTATTGATCATCTATCAGAGATCATCTATCGATCATCACCCTGTGACTGTGTCCCTCCTCTGTCTCAGCCTGGTGGTGGTCCCTGGTCTACGTCTCTGTGGGGGGTGCAGCTCTCGTGGCGATCACACTGGGAGTCGTCGCATGGAGGAGAACTAAAGGTGACGACGTCCACAGATGGAACTGCTACGAACAACACGTTTTAAATGATGAGCTCAACACGTCCTCTTTGTTTGTCTTTTCAGGGAACAAAACAAAGACGGATGACGACGCGGTGAGTTTAAAACATGAATAATTAAACTTCTAAACCATCATGAGCTCCACCAGCAGCTGAGTCACGTTGAACTGAGGGAGGAAAGAGGGAGTCAGCGGGTCTCTGAGCAGCCATCTTGTCTCCTCCTCTCTGCAGGACGACCCTGAAGGAGGCGTGGCCTACGCCTCCGTCAGCTTCACCAAGAACACCGCCGGCAGAGCCCAGGTGAGCTGAGCTGGACCAACGTGTCCCAGCGTCTCCTCAGCAAAGAGGACGTCCGTCCCCAGAGTGAGGACTCTACATGTTGATTTTGGATTCATGAGTCTTCCTCTCTCCCTGCAGGCCGGCCTTCATCCCGATGATGAGGAGGAAGGTGGCGCAGTGACCTACACCACCCTGAAGCCCCCCCGTCCCTCCGCTGCAGCTGACCCCGCCGCCCTCTACGCCACCGTCACCAAACCAGCCAGATAAGAGGTCACATGACTGTTTGTAGCCCGATGGAGACGTTTAGGATCAGCGCAGGCTGCGTCATGAAGACGTGTGGACGTTTGCTGTGATGCATTATGGGAGTTCAGGAAAGCAGACGCTTAGAGACACGTGCATCCGTTATACTGCGTCCCTGCATGCACACGATGACGGCTTCAGGGCTTCTTGTCATTTATTTTGTCACCATTTAAGTGAATGTTGCTGTTTTAGTTTGCTGAATGTGATTGTGTCCTGTTTTACTGAGTAAAGTTTTCAGCTTACTGGAATAAAAATGATTTTCCTTGTGTGGTTTTAACCCCATTTGCGCTTCATGCTTTATTCTTTTTTTAAGCATTTTAATTTCAAATAAAGGTTGTATGAAAAGTCGATTGTAAGCTTCATTAAAATGTCCAACAGAATACCAGCGTCTCTGCTCTTTGTCTCCAGAGAGGCACCAGAGGTCCTTCTCAGCTGCTTTAAAGCACAAACTGCCCACAAGCAAACATACGGCCTCTTTATCACACAACAAGGCTGTGATTCTTCTGCTGAAACCGCTCGGTAGCGTCTACGCTTATGAAAGTGAAGATGTGAACAATATAATGAACGAAGGCAAAGAGAAAGTCCTGAGATCAAAGATCAGATGGAGAATAGTGAAAGAAGAAAGTGACAAAGGAATATTTATTGTTTAAAGAGACAGAAGAAAAACGGAGGTTCTGAATGAGGTTGAATAAACCTCCAGAATCCAGAGAGGAAGGAAGCTGTGACGTTTGGTGATGTTTAGTCACATGACCGACATGATGAAGACACTACAGGTGAACAGGGTCAAAGAATTAAAGATTAGAATTCAACATGAAACTTCACCACTTCTACATTACTACTACATTGCATTTATTGAATTTATTCAGATGTCGTGTTTGAACAAACTACTAAAGGTGCATTTGTTGACAGATGCAACTCATCTAATCAAAGTCACGTTTCTTCTTTTCAAACTGCAGCGATGCAAACGTTGAAGAGTCTAATGTACATTTACTATGTGTGAGAAAGCAGAACCTACACACACACACACACACACTTACAGACAGTAATTAGTGTGTGTGTTGAGCATGAACAAATTGCAGTGTGGGGGGGTTGTTAACGGCGATTAGGACAAAGGGCTGTCAAACAGACTGATTCTGCCTCACTGGCGCCCGCTGCAGTCGTACATGACACATTCCACACGGGGAGGCCCGTCCCTGAAGAGGTGGGAGGGGGTGAGGGAGGGAGGCTGGGATATGGCGAGGACCCCCCTCCCCCGGACCCCTCCTCTCCCCCATGAATGAGAATAATTACATCATCCTGCATACAAATGAGCTTATTTAGCTTCTTTCTTTTTTCCTCCCATTCCAAGGGTCCGACAGACCTTGACCCACTTTGAACAGCCAATCACAGCCGGGGTGGGGATCTCCTGAGCCAACGGGACGTTTGGCCCCGCCCCCCCCCCCCCGGGTGCATGATAATAAGGCCGGGAATAATAACACGCGGGGGTACTCCTGCTCGCCTCAGTTGTGCTCCGTTACCTCGTAAGCCGCCATCATGGTCGACGCCTTCTGCGCCACTTGGAAGCTGGTCGACAGCGACAACTTCGACGAGTACATGAAAGCTCTGGGTGAGTGACGGCCGCGTTCCATTCTGCCCCCCTTTTCATTCATTACACTCACTCTGGCAAACAGGTTGAGAGGATCTAACCCCCCCCCCCTCTCCCTGGTCAGGCGTGGGCTTTGCCACCCGGCAGGTGGGCAACGTGACCAAGCCGACCGTCATCATCAGCCAGGAGGGCGACAAGGTGGTGGTCCGCACCCAGAGCACCTTCAAGAACACGGAGATCTCCTTCAAGCTGGGGGAGGAGTTCGACGAGACCACCGCCGACGACCGGAACTGCAAAGTAAGACGGCAGCGGGGAGCTCTGAAGGTCCCGCGAGGCCCCAAGGAGCGTCCCTCAGAGGCTCAGATGTCTTTTAATTCAAACGATCCTAAAGATGAAAGTGAATTCTCTGTGGTCGCGCTGCACGAGGAGGAGGACGGGTTGGAGAAGAACTCGAGTGGGTCGGGCGCCGCTCACGACTCTCTCTTCCTTTTGTCTCTCAGTCCACGGTGACCATGGAGGGGGACAAGCTGGTCCACGTCCAGAAGTGGGACGGCAAGGAGACCAAGTTCGTCAGGGAGATCAAGGATGGCAAGTTGGTCATGGTGAGTGGAACGCACCCCGATCACACACACACACACACACTCTGTCTACACACAGCGTACAAAGAGGACAGCGGGTATATCTGAGTCCTCATCGTGTGGACATTTGTTGTGTATTATTGGAATATAAAAAACAAAACATACATGGAGTCAACAGGTGGCTTTTTCCTTCCTCTTAGCTCTCATTCTTCTGTCTTCATATTTCAAATTTGGTGAATCCAGCAGGAAATGAGACGTTTCTTGTGGTGTTTGTTCGTCATTAACTGTGCAGTGCATTTCTTCCGATTCTTTAAAAAGCCGCTGTAGCCGCAAAATGCAAATCAAAGAGACCACAAAGACACACAACAAGACGTGTAACGGCTACAAACAACAACAAAACAGTCAAAAACATTGAGTCTGTCTCATAATCTGTTGCTGAACTAAGAAATGAGAAAGCCCTTTTTACTCAGGTTTGTCTTTCTGAAGCTGCACAGATGCATCAGACCAGTTTGTTAGTTCGGTTCTAACTGTCGTCTCTCCTCTGCAGAATCTGACCTTTGAAGACATCCACGCGGTGCGCAGCTACGAGAAGGCCTGAGAAGTGCTGATTTTATCATTATTATTGACTGTACGCTTCTCTTTGCACTTCATCCTCCTCGGCATGAACGCGGCCTGCAGGCTGCACGTGTTTTGTAATGTTTTTTTTATACATATGAAAACATTTCCATCATTAAGAATTTAGCGTCTTTGCAACCCTGTGTGAAACAAAAAAATAAAAAAAAACACAGAGCCAATGATTGTTTCTTCTCTTGTGTTGTGATGATTTCCTCATCAGCCTTTTCCAGAAGGTATCAGTGAAAATATCATTTCATTATGACAACGTGAACTTACGTTTTCTGTAACTGTGACTGTCACATGGGATATTATCTGATTCAGATCATTCAGTTATGCGTTGCCAGTAGTCTGTTCTTAAAGGGCCAGTACACCCAAACATACATGCGTACTGAAATGATGTGTCGGGAAAAGAGAATCATAGAGACCGGTTTCTAAAGAAGAAAACACTCGCTTGGCTCGGTAACAAAGCCTTCAACCGGAACATACGTTTGAGGCGTCACGATAATTCAATTGTCGAGAAAGAAAAGTGTGCACCTCTCTGTCTGTCCAGCGGCTAATCTCACATTCTGCTGCAGGCAGCTGCATTATTTTGGGGGGTCCAGTTATGGTGGAATGCTTGAAATACCACTACAAGTAAACAACATGCAATGGGAACGTTATTAAAGTAAAAGTGACCGGGGTCTGATTTAGATAATTATTAATGCATGGTATAGGTGGTCAAAGTGGAGCTCATTTTAAAAGTTATACATTTTGTTGGTAGTTGAATCAAAGGCTATTTTACAAGTGTGGCATGTAAAGTCTTACTTTGTAAACTATTTGCCCTTGTTGTTAAACTTAATTAGACTATTTGAGTATAAGTAGTACTTTATCCCCCCTCCTGCAGACCGTCTGCCTCCATAAGTCCCTCCCCCTGAACTCTGAGAATCACGTGACCACCGGAGGCTACTTCCGTGTTTATCGCGGAGAAAATCAGTCGGCTGCGTCACGTGTGTGTTGCTCTTTATCTCCGCCCTGTAACACAAACACAAACATGGCGCATCTCGTGCGGGTCGTTCTGCTGCTGTGCGCGGCGGCTCCCGTGGGGGGGGCCCCCCCGGGCAGCGGCTACCTGCCGGCCGCAGGTGAGTGGACCCCGGTCCAATCAGGTTCATGTCACGCGCACGCGATGACGCGTTCAGCGTGAATTAGATCGCGCGCGCCGAATTCACCCCGAGAAGTTGCTGATGAAGTTGAGGGGTTTTTTTTGCTGAGAACGTTGAGTTTTTATTTGTAAATGACGAGAAACGTGATAATTGAGAGATTTTAAAACGGAGTTTGGTCGGGAAAGTTTCCTCTGAGAAACGCACACTGCTCACGTGATACGTAATCACCACACGCATGAAGACGGCGCTTGATGACGTAATAATAATGAGGTGGGACTTGAGAAGGCTTCCAGTGCACAACAAGCAGGCACAAAGAAGTGAACACATCCGCCTCGTTGCATAGAAGCCCAGAAGACACTAAATGCAACACAAAGACGCATTATGACATTATGAGACATTTAAAACCCTCCTTTTGTTTTCGTCTTTCTAAAACACTTCATCTCTTTCATCCCTTCTCCCTGTTCCCCATCGCCTCCACCTGTCCAGGCAGGTTCTGGCACATCACCGACCTCCACCTGGACCCGTCCTACCACCTGTCCCCCGACCCCACCAAGGTCTGCTACTCCTCCAAAGGGGCCCCCGCCACCCACGCCGGCCCGTTCGGGGACTTCCTGTGCGACTCCCCCTACGCGCTCATCCAGTCCGCCTTCGCTCACATGGCGCCGCTCACACGGCCCCAAGACTTCATCATATGGACCGGGTCGGTACCACGGGGGGGGGGGGGGGTGTAGACTGTAAGCGAGCGGTGTGACTAACCAGCTCATAGAAAGCGTGTGTGTGTGTGTGTGTGTGTGTGTGTGTGTGTGTGTGTGTGTGTGTGCTTTCATGCGGAACCACTTTGCGGTTTTGGACTTGAGGATTGAGGAAGCTCTTGTATTGTGAAGTCACTCTGAACGACTCTCACTTCCTCAATAAAGTGCTCTTTGAAAGTTGATCTATTTTGACATTCGGTGCACTACGTCTTTTAAAGCTACCGTTACAGTAACTTTGTATCTTCTTTGTGCACATGAGCGATCATCTGAGACTCGTCTGTCTGCCTCTTAAGGCGTTTCCACCGCGCCGACCAACGCACATTTAGTCACTACTGTAGAGGTACAGTGACCAACTAACCGACCTCTGACTGTTCATACGGCGGTTCAACATGTTACCAATATTACCTTTTAATCCCAAATACCCGTAAAAATCCACCGGATTCTGAGCCGTTAAACATCAAATAATCAGTTTTACTCCCTGCAGTCATCTGCATGTTTACTGAGCTTAATTAATGCGGTGAATACGCGTCAGTGAGGGTTTGCCAGCCTTTAGTGTCCCTGCAGCAGCTGATCAGCCGAGCGCCTTTCATTCCATGTTTGAAGCAGCTACCCAGGCAGGTTAATGATATACCCGATGTCCTCGTCCCTCGCCCACCAGGGACAGCCCCCCCCACGTCCCTGCAGGCGAGCTCTCTACGGACGCGGTGGTCCAGGTGATCGGTAACATGACGCAGACCATCAGGCAGCACTTCCCCAACCTGACGGTCTATCCGGCCCTCGGGAACCACGACTACTGGCCGCAGGTATCGTCGCCCGAAGCCCGTCCAGCACTCAGAGAATACATTCGTCATGTATCCGCCTTGTGTGCCACGTCCATGTGATGACGTGGCGCTGTATTCCTTTTCAGGACCAGATGCCCGACTCATCCAACGCCATCTACGAAGCCGCTGCCCAGCTGTGGAAGCCCTGGCTGCAGCCCGAAGCTCTGCTCACCCTCTCGCAGGGTAACGCGAGACATAAAAGACATAAAACCGCTCAGAGAGCCTTTTCCCGTCCGCGAGCGCGCTCGGTTTTTCAGCATAAACGTCCTGTTTTTTTTTTTTTACGTTTAATTCTGGGCTGCAGGCGGCTTCTACTCCCAGCTGGCGAAGCCGGGTTTGCGGGTTCTCAGCCTCAACACCATCCTCTACTACGGCCCCAACAGAGCCACGGAGAACGTGACGGACCCGGCCGGCCAGTTCCGGTGGCTGGAGGCGACTCTGCAGAAGGCCGCTCGCAGTCGGGAGAAGGCAGGAAGGCAGAGTGAGAACGTGCGCTGACCTTTGACTTCTGAGCTGAGATTTGAGACGCGTCTCGCTTCCGCGCTGCAGGTGTACGTCATCGCTCACGTACCTGTGGGGTACCTGCCCTACGCCAGGGGCACCCCCGCCGTGAGGGAGCGCCACAACGAGCGGCTGGTCGCCATCTTCAGGGCGCACAGCGACGTCGTCGCGGGACATTTCTACGGCCACACCCACCGGGACAGCGTCATGGTGCTGCTGGACCCACGAGGTGGAACGTCTGTCTTAATGTCTAAACTGCGAGGTGGGGGGACGGGTTGTCCCCCGGAAGGGGACACTTTGCAAGTGAATGATGTCGTTTTGGTGTTTTTCCCGCTCCGCAGGCAAACCGCTGACTTCTCTTTTCGTGTCACCGGCCGTCACGCCGATCAAACACGTGGAGGAGCCGTACTCCAACAACCCGGCGCTCCGCGTCTACCTGTACGACCCCGAGGACTTCGCTGTCCTGGTGACCAGCTCTCATACGTGACGCGTGCTTAGTTATGTGGGATCTTCATAGTTTGTCCCTGATTGTGTTACACTGTAAAGAAAACACCTGAGGTTTGAAATCAGCAAGAGAAGAGACACTAACTTTAGCTGTTAGCAGCTAGTGGGTAGCACGCTATGCTAAACAGTCAATGCTAGCGGAGGCTAAATTGAGTTACACGATGCCTTCTGTTACGCTTTAGTTAAAATGGTCATTATGCAACGGGTCATTTAAGATATTACGTTACAATTTCTTGATATATAAAGATGTTTATGTATCATTTGTAGATGTTAAGTAGATGTGAGTGTATGAATGTGAGTAAGCGAATGTTCACTTTGTTTTCGGCTGATTTGTAAGTTTGAAGTTTAGTCTCCTAATCGGGAAGTAGAAGCGGCTTTCAGAGCATCTCTATAAATAACAGCCCTCGTGTGTATAAATAAACGTCGACGCCACCGAGCCCGTATGAGGAACTTAATCCCACACTGTAAAAAGAAATGTAGTAAAACGTTTTTAAAAGATATTTGAGCTCATAGAAAAGAAAAAAAAAAACGTCTTGCACTGACTGTTAAGAGGCGGAAGAAAAAAACGGCCGTCCCGATGATTAATCGCAACGTCAATCAGAACACAAAAACAGCTTCTGCCTTTCAAAAAGACTCAAAGCCCCCCGTCCCCCCCCCCTTGTCTCTGTGGTCTTTCTCTGTCTCTGAAGGATCTCTGGCAGTACTTTCTGAACCTGACGGAAGCCAACGAGAAACAAAGAGCCGACTGGAGGCTGGAATACATCATGACGGAGGCTTTTGGACTGAGTGACCTGCGGCCCGCCCGCCTCCTCCAGCTGGGCCTGAGCTTCCTGCTGCCGCCGGCCGACGCCTTCCGCCGCTACTTCGCTCACTTCATGGTCAGCTACGACAGCGGCGCCGCGTGCGAGGGCGAGTGCAAGCTGCTCCAGGTGTGCGCCGTGATGCACCTGGACCGACGGGCCTACTCCAGATGTGTGGCAGGGGGGTGACCTCACACTAACACACACACACGCACACACACACACCAGCCCGAGTGCAGGATTCAGTGTGTTGTGCGTGTGGAGGGGATTTTAAATTGTTCGTAACGCCGTCATGACCAAATGCTCACTGATTATATATGATTATGATTATAAACATGCAAGATTCTACATATAATGATTTTAGGTCTTCGGGTGCTTTTCTCTGAGGTTCTTCATGTCTGTTTATGAAGTAAAACTTAAAAGCTGCCATCTTGGTTAGGACCCCGCCCCCTCCAACCAAATCTGAATGTGATGATCCGTGATGCCCGGATGATGATATGTATGATATGCATATATATAAAATAATATATAGCTACACATATTGCATTCACTGCTAGTTAATTACATTATTATTTTTCATGTTGTTGTGACCAAAGGATTCCTGGTTTTATTAATTCATTGTTGACTTTGATGCTGCTGTGTATTTTTTCCAATAAGAAGTTGTTGCTGACGCTGAAGTCACAGTAACGGCTTGTTTGTGTCTGAAGCTTCAGCGCCTCGCCCCGCCTGCCCCGCCTGCCCCGCCTGCCCCGCCTGCCCCGTCTGCCCCGTCTCCCCCCCCCTCCACCCTCTCTCATTCTTCTCCTCCTGTTTCTCAGCCTCCAGCTCAAGTATTCGCCCCCCCAACGCCCCGTCCATCCCGGCTCTTTTGTCCCCTCTGCCTCCCTAGAATGTGGACGCCACTCTGTTAAAGCTCGAACTGCACCGGGATAAGTGACGGAGATTCTCCACCCATCGGCACTGCATTTGTTGAGCGCTGCTACGTCATTGTGTGTCTATTTGGACCCTTTGAGTTAATGAAACAAACCAAACAGGGGGAGTTAGTTTAGTTTAAAGAGATTAAGACCCGAATGTAAAAACAACAACAACAACCAACAGGAGGGAAAATAAATGCTAATTAACAACAGCTGCTAATCACAAACTTTATTATTTATTATTCACATCTGCGGTTGTAGAGAAAGAGAGCGAGAGTTTGGGAAGTTCCTGAGGATCTGTGAGTGTTTGTTAAACACCCCCCCCCCCCCCCCCCCCAGAGCCCAACAGAACAGAACGTAACCGTGGAGACGGAGTCGGGGCTGTGCATGGCGATGGAGAGGACTCAGTCGCCACGGTAACAGCTTTAGAGCGCCCAGTCCTCTGTGTGTGTGTGTGTGTGACTGCTGGCTGCTGTTTATTCAAACAAAATACAAGCAGTTTAATTCTAAGAATATATATATTCTGTAGATTGTAGACTGTAGATTTTGTGTTTTTTATTTGGTAATCATCTGTTCCATCCAGATAATAAATAATAATAAAACATATAATTAGTCAAACTATATTTCATCGGTGGTGTGCACAAGGTTTGTATCCCAGTCAAGTTCTTTTAGTACTTCTGCTGTTACTTTTAATAATACTTTTACTATTTCTCATGTACATGAAACCTGCTGAAAGACTCATCAGGTCGCTCTGATCCGTGACTTTTATTGATGTTTAACGTGTACAAAGTAGTTTCACGATGCCCCATGTGGCCATTTGTAAAAACTGCATTTTATTTAAATCTCAATTTCAACCTAAACTATAGGAAACATAAAAAATTAAAGAAACTTCATGTCGGCCGATTACACTGAAGTATAAATATAGAACTTCAGGGTTTCACATCCATTGTTTTATACATACTTTTACATCACAAGTAATAATGTGTATAGAATAGAATGTATTTAATCTCTTCCGAAGGAACAAGTCGTATTTATGAAACTCGTGCAGACAAAAGACAAACGTGATCATAAGCTGGGGGGCTCGACCCCCCTCAGTGTTTGTCTGCGTCTCCCACGTGTTCGCCGCCGCAAACGTTAGTGCTTTCGTTCCAGTTGGCTGACTGGTGGCTGACTGGTGGCTGACTGGTGGTGCCCCACAACCAGTTAATCTGAGGATTACTGTCAGGACAGTCGAGCCGTCCAACCGGCCTCTCCTGGGGAGCCGGAATCTGTGTGTGTGTGTGTGTGTGTGTGTGTGTCTGATCCCTGTAAACTGTCCCTCTCTTTAATATCTTGCGGGCTCGTTTCTAACTGTCCCACGAAGCACAGAGATCCCACACAGCTACGAAGTGTCTATCGTTTAATCTCACCACCACCTGAGCACCGTTTCTCTATTGACTGTCTCTATTTGTGCATTCACAACGAGGCGATAATGACAGTAATGTTTCATCAGGCATTTGAGGGGTTTCAAAGCAGCAATAAGTGGTCCACCGTGAAGGAAACATTGGCTGTGTTCCAAACTGCATACAAGCTTCCTGCGTCCTCAATCTGTCAGCATGTGCTTAATAAATGAAGGATGAAGTACGATTTTATCTGCAGACTGGTCTCACAGGAGTTCGCTTCAGGCTCTGAACAGATCCGTAAACATGGCGGTGGTTTAATTCGGAGGAACTGACCACATGTTGGGAATCTAAGCTGGAATTTTCTCCCCTGAAGACACGTTGAAACGTAATAAAATGACATTAAGAGCTTCGTCCTGGCTCCAAATCCCACGATACTTTGGGTCTGACATCTTCAATGCATTGTGGGACAGGTGAGTGTGATCGTGTCTCAATCACTCTGGATACTTTATGGATATTTTTAAACACACCAGACTTCAGACACGCGGTCGAAATGTATGAACAATCAAACTCGCTGATTGTTGCATCGATCCAGTTGATGGACGTTGTCTTATGGACAATATTCAGAAGGACGCGTCGTTGAGAAACGCTGCGTAATGGTTTCACAGGTTTCCCTTTAAGGGGGATCACCTGGGACATTCCAAGGGACGTCCCTGCAGGTTCGTCCTCACGTGCAAAGTCAGCGGTGGCGCTGTGACCCCAGGTGACCCCCCCGCCTCCTTCGCCGTTATTAGTCACCGCTGGTCTCCCAACATGCATCACTCTCCAATGAACATATATACACATGAAAGTACTTCCGTCTCGCATTTCAAGACAACCCCCCCCTCCACCCTTCTCCCTGCATAACCCCATAATCACTGTGCAGCTGATCTCATTACTTGAGAAAAGGCTTAATCTGTCCCATTGTTCCGGCCGATGATTCTAATGCTCTTTACTCGTTTTTCTTCTGCTGCTGAAGCTGAAACTCAACGTTTCAGGCCGGTGTCTTTGCAGACGGGAAATGGTCTCCGAGTGAAACGAATGGACTCGGCACAGAAATGAGGGGTTGGAGACACGGAGGAAATGCATCCCGTTACTAAGCAACAGTCATGAGACCAAAGGACGCCTTCGGGTGGAGGTGGACGGGTCCAACGAACAGGACGCAGGAGTCAGGTCCTTTAACTCTCCGTCACAGTGGTTTCGTGGCCTCGTCCCAAAACGTTTGTGTTTTTGTTTCTTAAATCGACTTCCACATTCTCACAAACCGTTTTACAGTAACAGTCCGGTTGGTGCTCAGAACATAAAGCTCCTTTGATTCCGCTGGTGCGCCGTGTGATATTCTCTCACACCCAAGTCTCACACAGTCTATAATGGAGACAGGGGGGGGGGGTCTTTAGTCTCATGCTTCAGTAGTAATTTGTCAGCGGCCATGAATGGGCTCCTTCATCAGCGAGTGGAGACAGCAACGAGCCTTCTGTGTGTGTGTGTGTGTGTGTGTGTGTGTGTGTGTGCACTGGTGGGGGTCCGGCCTCAGATTGAAGTTTGCTTTAAGCCTCTTGTGGCCCGGTCACTGCTTTGTATGGGCCCACCATAGGCAGTTCCCCGTCGGCCAATCAGAGGCCACGCAGCCCCTTCGCTCCACCCTGTAATGTGTCGAGCTGGACGAGAATCCACCCGAAAAGAGAGAAAAAGGTTCATTATTTAAAGTCAGCAGGACACAAAGAAACAAAGCAGATTCTGTGAATAAAAGAAGTTCACTTTTGAACTTGAAAAAACTAAACATCTCCAAAAATAATCTGAAACACCACCCAAATGAACGAGGCCTTTCAAGAAGAAAAAGGTTTTAGTTTCGTTATTTGCAGGATTCAGCTTTTTCAATCTGAAGATTTTCCGGTTGTCTCTGGCTTCAAAGACTCAAAGACGCACAAACTACAAACCTTTGTTTCACCGCTTCAGGCTGAATGCAAAGACTTTGTGTCGGGCCTCAAATAGTCTTCCAGCTTCCAAAAGAGTGAACCGTTTCCCTTTGGGGGGCTTGATGAGCACGTATAGATTACTGAACGCACCCACTGGGCCTCACACGGGACACAGAGACGCAAAGGAACCACCGAGACACAAAGGGCAAAAAAACCAACAACAACAAAGCAACGATACAAAGCCTTCAAATTACTACAAAACAACTACAAAGACCAAGGAGGACACAGGACGAAGTGTCCAGAGATCGAGGTGTCCACCCGATGAGACCAAAGATATTAAACACAGCTTTCTAGAGAGCTTCCTAAAACTGTTAGTGAGTCTATTGCTGTGTGTGTGTGTGTGTGTGTGTGTGTGTGTGTGTGTGTGTGTGTGTGTGCGTGTGAACGAGTTGGACGGAGGCCAGCGATCGACGTCTCGCTGCACGGTCGAGTATTTCGCTTCCAATTAAAATTTTACCCCAGAATCTGGGAGTTGGTACTTTTCCCACTGGAGTAAAAGCTATTGTCCAAGAACACAAAGCTCGTTTATTGTGAAGCCGCTGAAGTTCATGAATGGAGCTCAGACGATGGCGGCCAATGAAAAAAAAAAAACGTCTACTAGAGCAATATGGAATTTGCGTGTGTGACACGGTGCCAAAAACCGCGTTGGACGGAGTGATTAATCCTCTGGTGGAGATCAGACTGAATACTGTTGATACTTTACAGGCTAGGAATTAAAACGTAAACGCTGGCTAAGTTTACATCGTTACCGCGGTTACTTGGATGGTAGTGTGTGAGCTGTGGTTGGAGAGCCGCAAAAAAAACGTGCAGTTCTGAAGCCTCAAGTACGGCCTTCTGGCCCATGAACTCATGTTTGCAATGTTCACTGAGGGAATGAATCAGGAGAGAAGTAGAGTCATTTTCTCATAGACTTCTATGGGACCAGAGGAGTCGCCCCCTGCTGGTCACTGCAGAGAATGCAGCTTTAAGGGACCGTCAACCGTATTTATCCCAGAGACAAAAGAGGTTACCACATAGATCCCTTTAAACAATCGGTAACAATAAAGATTTCATCTGTTTGGAGCCTCGACAGACGTCGATGAATCAAAGCACTGAATATTAGTGATACATGATGAGAGAAATCACACTTTACTGAACTACAAAGAGATGCGACAAGTAACAAAAAACTGAGGGGAATCGAGGGGTTCAAGCTGACTGTTCATGCTTATTCTCTCCGTGCCCCTCCGCGCCCCCCTTTATTCTCCCCCCTGCTGGGTTTGAAGGGTCAGTGAGTTTGCCCTCAGAGAGGTCTTTACAGGAAAGGGAGGGGTAGAGGGGTGTGCCCTTTAACCCAGTTTTTTTTTCCTTTGGGGGGGTTACAACCCCTTTTTTTTCCCCTTATACACACTTGCGTGGCCTCGGGGAGGTGCCCCCCCCCCCCCCCCCCCCCCCCCAGGGGAGAAACCGCTGCATCTGGGGCTCCGTAGAGGTGCAGGCGGAAGGTTATTCTGCAGAAAGTCTGTCATCCTCACTTCTTTTTTCCTTTAAATTCCCTGTCGATATTGTTTAATATTATTTTCACATCATTTCAACATGTTTTACTGATTCATCTTTAAATTATACATTTAAACAGAATGTGCTGTTGTTGTGGCCAGAAAACGTTTCTTTAAGAGAGAGAGAATATGTATTTTTAAAATGATAAAAAACTAAAAACGTTTCTTGATAAAAAAATGCTATTATTTCATTAAATGTTTCTGTGTCTTTGTGGGTAAAGAGAAAATGTTCTTTTCTGTCATGTTCTGAATTGAATCATTAACGCTGCAGCAGTGCTGCCATCTGCTGTCCCTCTGTGAAGCCCTCGATTCTAAGATACAAAGAAATTAAACAAGGATGTTAAAACTTGCCTTTGTCCAATTTTCAAATTTAGATTCTGGAAATGTATAAACATTTGTGCATATTTTGTAGATGATACATGACTTGCATCATCTACAAAATGACTGCATGTTTAAAACTTTAATTACAGAAAGCCCGTGATTTTGGGATTACAAAAGAAGAATGAGACATTTTCATACAAAGATTTTTCAAAAAGATTTTTCAAATAAATATCATGAATAATAGTAGTAGAAATTAAATAAGAAAAGGCAGAAACGTTTGTTTGCCACATTTATTATTTTCTGCAAACATCCAAGGAAAAACAGAAGAAAAAATTTGAAAATTATAATAAGCAGAAAGACAATGAAATAAAATTAACAATTCTGCAGAAATCCGAGGGGAAAAAATGAAGTTGTGTTTTGAGGGAACCAGTGCGACGTTAAAATATATTTAAGAAAAATTTTCCGAAGAAGAAATATTCAAATAAAACATTTCGAAAATAAAAATGAAAAAATATCGATTCATTTCTTTAATATTAGAAATCAACAGGTGAGGTGTCTTGTTGATATCTATGAGTCATTATTTACTTCACTTTATTTACCTCCCACACAAGGCGCTGGCCAGCAGGGGGCGCCGTTGTTCCTCCCTGATGAAGCTCAGCAGAAGGTCGGTTCATTGTTTGGTTCATTCAGTCAGGTGGAATCTGGTTTACTCCAATGAGCCAGAGAAGAAGAAGAAGGAGCCGTGCACAGTATCTTCTCCTTCTCCTGCGTCTTAAACACAGAAATAATGTGTTGATGCATTCAAACAAAGCCGGTAAAGAAAATAAAACATCACTCCGCAAATCCAAGTTCTATGACGTCACTGATGTTTTGAATCTTAACTATATTTTATTCACCTAAATGTGAAATTTAGAAAACCAAATCATCTGACTAAATTAACAAATAAACATCCCAACAGGTACAATTATTCTTTTTTTACATTGTGTTTCATCGATTGTTTTTTAAATTTATTTTCCATCTTGTTTACGATAAGTGAAGTTTGGCTAAATAACAGAAAGCAGAAAGAAACGTGTGATTTATCGCAGGCTGCAACAGTTTTAGTTGTACTTAATAAATCGGCAAACGGGCGTAAATGAGCATCATGTTATGTAGCAGTGCATTGTGGGAGCTTTTTCCCTTTAAGTTGACCAATGGAGGACCAAATCAAAGACACTAAGAGACAAAGAGACAGACACTGAGACAAATCATGACAGCTGCAGCACTTCAGCTCCAACACTCCAACACCAGCCAATCAGAGCTCAGGGCAATTATTACGACCCCCCCACCCTGCACCCTGCCTCCCCTTGGACCCCACTTTAAAAACTACCCCTCAGGCATTCAAGACCCCCGTCCCCCCGTCCCTCCCCCGCTCACAGCATTCATCATGTGGTTTTATTACAACAAAACCCTAAACCTTTATTTGATCTTAATCATCTCATCGTATTATATTTTCTCTCATCATACTTATTTTATCTCAACAAGACGGAAGAAGTTTCTGTGTCTCTTCCTCTCGTGTCCTCTGTGAGTTTGTCTCGTGCAGAGCCGGCCGGGGGGGCGATGGGAGACCAGCAGGCGCACACAAAGGCCCTTAATTCAGCATGTTTAAGTGCAGCTGTCTGGTCACCACTGAGCAGGTGCCCCCCCCCTCCTCCCACCTCCACCCGCAACCCCCTCATCCACCCATTCATCCAGCTGCATTTCATTTGACCAGCTGTAATAAAGCGTCTGAATGATGGTCTCCCCCAACACTTGACCCTCCAGAGGAAGACTTCAGGAGAAAAGAGCTGCCGCCCCCCCAGGAGGAACCTCCTAAAACCAAAAGCTCAGAGAGCAGAGACACTTTAAGGAAAACAAACAAGGCGTTGATGTGAAACATCTTTATGATGCCGTCTAAGAAGGCGGAGAAGGGAAGAAGATGAGGGAGGAGGAAGGAGACTCGACGCCTCTGCACTGTGCTGCTCTTTCACGATGTTCCCATCAAAAGTGTTTTCTCGCTTGTGATGATGGACAGATTTGTTCAGACGTTGGCATCTGCTAACCGCAAACATGTTGAATTTGAACGTTTCAGGCTGTTGCCCCGGCGACCCGACCCCGGATAAGCGCTTGAGGATGGATGGATGAACCCAGCACACAAAACGCACAATAACCCAGAGGTTCAAACACTGTAACATTGTAAGAAAGTTAAAATGTAACAAATTAAAAATGTCTCAAAGCAAACTGATGACGTAACAACTGACACCCTATTTTTACTAAGGGGTTACAACTGCAAACATATGGTACTATAATTAAAAATGAGGAATGAAAAAGGTGAAATTGAGGCCCCAAATTAAGCCTCAGGCCTCCAGAGTCACCACCACAACCCCCCCCCCCCCCCCAAAAAGAAAAAAAAAATCCCCCTCCGCATATTTGTTGCAGCCAAATTGCCTTTCCTTCTTTGTCCCATCCGTTCCACTCAGTGCTTTGGTAATAATGCAGAATGATTGGTGTCTTATTTCAATAGTCAAATAAGACAATGCTGAATTTACGCATATAGCAAACATTGCTCTGACTTACGTGTAACGTGTAGGAGGCAATAAAGTATATTAAAAAAAAGAGACCAAAGGGATGCGCTTCTATGACGTCCACGTCTATCCCGAATTAATATTACACTTGGATTTGGGTAGGCGTGGGCTGCTTAAAGCCCTATTATTGTAGTTCTACTCACCCACAGCGAACTAATTATGTGTTCGTACAATAAACTGAAGGCTATTTCAAGGGATTTTCATTGGTTTCCAATGTCAGGTATCATAATACTCTGTAATTATTAATCACCCACCGCAATAGGTCACCATTATATCTGATGCAGGTCCCTCTTGAGATACCCATACTCCTCCCACTGAATTCCAGCAGATTTGGATTTTATTATTAAGTAACGCGTTATCGAAACGGCGTCCAGAACCTCCCCGCGTAAACATCCATATGTTGCAGAAGCGGAGGCCGCACGGCATTCCCGGC